GCGCAAGGGCCTGAGTTCAATCCCCGGTTCCACCAAAGAAAGAAAGAAAGAGAGAGAGAGAGAGAGAGAGAGAGAGAGAGAGAGAGAGAGAGAGAGAAAGGCTGGCAAGATAGCTCAGCTCAGAGGTCTAAAGCGCCTGCTTAGGCAAGCTTAGGTAGACTCAGAGGACCGCAGTTCGATTCCCAGCACCACATAAGGCGCCAGCCCCACCCTCAGGGTGGGCTGAGCCAGAAAAAACACAAACAAAACAAAAAGCCTGGTTACTGCTGCGGTGGGAGATTCACAGGATTTGCTACATGGGCAATAGATCCCTACGTCAAGAGAGAAGAAAGCCTGACTACTGCTCCAGCTGACAGCAGACCTTAACATCATCCACATGGTATACTTTTTAGGCACATGTAGACAGCAAGAGTTATGGATGGGGTTAGAAAGGCTTCCACCCAGACTGCACAAGGCCTGGGAGGCCAGGTAGTGTGTCCCTGACAGGGCACTGTGCGAAGCTTTAAGTGTAAAGCCAAAGGTATAGGGGAGACCCCAAAAGTTTGAAAAAGCAAGGACCATGGAGTATCCAAGGAAACCTGCAAGGAGGGAGCAAAGCCAGCACCCCCACAAAAAAAAGGTCATGGGAGCTACAAGCACCGGAAATGCTGTATGAGTGGATCCACCCAACCCCTTTGGAGTTCACATCTTGCCACAGATTGCCTCAAATGCCAAACATGAAACTACAGGACAATGTTTGCCCTGCTGAATTTTGGTCTTGCTTTGCTCCTATTCCTTGCTCCACTGCCTGTTCGTAAACTTTTGGAACAGAAATGTGTACCTTATGCCATTGAATGTTGCAGTACAAACTTTTCGTTTGTACAGGGGCTTGCAGATAAGGGAGTCTGCCTTAAATCTCAAAGAGAATTTGGACTTCTCAGGCATGGACTAAATGCCTTTTGTGTAAAGGGATGTGCATGTCTTTGGGAGACAAGGAGGAGGGGGAATGCTACGTCTTGTATCTAGATGTCCCCACAAAGCCTTACGTGGTTATAGAAGAGGCTTCTTCAGAGGTGGCTCAATCAGGAGTGTGACACACTGGAATTGATTCATAGTGTAATGCTATAATCAATGGCACTAGGACTAAGAATGTGAGTGCTATCTGCCTCGAGTAGCCTGGAGAAGATATAAGCGATACAAAGAGCTGTGGCTGCTTCCTTGTTGCTTGCTTACCTTCTGCCTGCATGAACTGTTTCTCGTCTGCAATGCCTATCTGCCACGCCACCCTGCCTTGGAGCCAGCTAATTATGGGCTGACATCTCTACAAACTGTGAGCTAAGTAAATCCTTCTCCGTCTAACTCTGAGTGTTGGGTATTTTGTCTCAGTAATGCCACAAAAGAAACTAAGACAGCAAATATATGCAAAACCTTTATGACACTTTAGCACAGAAAATTAAGTAATTATAAAGGATACCATATATTCCTAACAGTAATTTTAATCTTAAATTGTTAACTTCAAAAACTGATCAATATAGATGGTTCTGCTAATGAAAAGGAAAAAAAATTCTTCATCCAAATTATAGTCAGCTTCTCACAATCAAAACTAGCCAGTCATTTAAATAAAATAAATACAAAATTTTAATTAGTAAAGCTTATTTTTAAATGTATTTATCAAAGACAAAGTACAAATAAATTTGACAGTGCTTGATTTATCAACAAAAAATAATTCAAAAAATTTGGTAGCATTTTTAATTATCTGCTTAAGAGGTGCTGCCTTGAATGTTAATTTAAACTTTTCACATCAGTAAGAGAAGTTAAATTTAGTAAAAATGGAAATAGCTAAAAACCACAAAAACAAACCTTTTACCATCAAATAACTTCTTACCTCTTCATCAGTTGTGGAGAAAAATCTTATCTATACAAATACATATCAGACTAAAAAGCTAAGTCCTCAATAATTCCCAGAGGAATAAGCTTTTCCGTGCTGAGAAAATGACATACTCCTTAATTTCGGGAGCAATGGGTGTTGTAACACGGTATGTTTTAGATACTTCAACAATTTATCCTGAGTTCAATCCCAGTACCACCAAAAAAAAAAAAAAGAAAAAGAAAAAAGAAACAAAGATAGATAGATAGATTACCATCTAATTTCACACAGTTTAAACGTTTACATTTTTACAAAAAGGGAGTACAAGAGAAAAAGGATAAACATGCACCTCCAGAGGGTATCACAATTAGTCTATCAACAGTGTGCCAGCAGTGTAATGACTACTCAGGGCCTGATACACACCTGATGTGAAGAGGCTCTGTGGTTCTGGTGCTGTGGGCCAGTCACTGGATGTCTGTGGGGAGCTGGGAAAAGGAGGAAGCCCGCTTGGGATAGGGTTGGGATGGCGAAAATTGTCTGAGAATAATGACTGTGACTCTGTTACTGCCCCTTCAAAAGGGGACCGTGCACTGTGATTGGATGAACTGATGGGGATGACTGGATTGGATTTTGATAAACCAGGTGGTGGTGAAGGTGTATCACTGTTGGGTACCTAATAAAAAAGAAAAAAGAAATCAATACACAAGAAAATAACCAATACATTTTAATAAGCAACAATGAAAAAGATCTCCAACTAAATATATTAAGGTAGCGGTCTCCAAACAAGGGAACTTGGAAACTATTTAATGAAAGCGGAATTTTCAGGAAATCAATTAAACTGTTAACTTAAAAGCTGGTGCTCTTTAAAAATAATAATAACTTGCCTGAAAGACAAAAACCAATTTCCTTTTTTTTCTGTACTCTTACGCCTGTTACTTTATAAACACAATAATATATCTTATTCTCTGGTATTTCACTATTGTATCTTTGAGCACAAACTTTTCAGAGACCAAAAACAATTTATTAGAAATGTTTCAACTGGTAAGAATAGAACCACAGACTCTAATGAGTAGATTTTTCTGCAAACTAGATGATTCACAGTATTTTATTTAACAAAACTGACAGATTTACTCAAAGTGTTCTCAGACAGATGACTGAAAATCATTATCATGATAAATCTTTACATAATTCTTAGGTATTTAATTCAAAAGGAATTCAAAGATCTGAGGAATAGTGATAGATACTTTTTCTTCATCATCTACTTATTTATAGAAACAAGATTTCTCAGCACTTACCACTTAGAAAGATGAAAAACATGAAAAGGATTGTTACTAAAACTTGCTTCATTTTACCAATAAAGTGATACTCATCTAGGGACATGTGAAACTAATCTACAGTGGCCCAATTCATCTTGTAACTACAGTATTTATGTTTAATAATTACTTTTTTTTTTGGCGGAACCAGGGATTGAACTCAGACCCTTGCGCTTGCCAGGCAAGTGCTTATTCTACTGAGCCAACTCTCAGGCCCCTAATGATTACTTTTTATAAAAGCCTATTTACATATTGCTTTGATCAACTTAATAAAAATTCAGATGAAAAATATTTAAATCAGTAACATTATTTAAAAGGCCTATTCTTACTTGAGAGCATGCTTTTCCAACAAAAACTATCTCACATCAAGATAAAAGTCTGTAATGGCAACAGAAAAATGAGTTTAAGAAGAAAAAGAATAATGTAAAATTTGTTAAAGAGCCTATGTATTTTTTCAAAATGGATAATGGGATGTCAAAATGTGGTATGCAAAACGCTATCACAAGTATCACAACATTAAATTCATCATACTTATTTAGGAAGCAAAACACATTTTTATTTAAAAACTTAAAAAACACTATATTTTAATTTTTTCATCTATACTGTGGGAAACTGGCTATTCTTTATGGAAGAGACTAAAGCTACTTTATTTTACCAATGTAAAGTAAGACGAACAGAAAGTCAACTAGTGAAAAAGTAGCAGAACAAAGGCTGTCTAAGCAGCAAGACGATACAGTGCACACCTGCCGGTCCATCCCTCACTCAGTTTCCCAGGGGATGCAAGTATGAATAGTTCATTCGTGGGAAGGAGGAACACTATTAGGAAGAAGTAAACTGCACAAAAACTGTAGTAGATAGTAAAGGACAGGGAGAATGTTTTGGGGAAAAACAACTCTGAAAAACAAGAGCACATAAAACACACAGGCTTGGGACCACTTGGGTAGAGTCATAAGATTAGTAACCACAAAAGATATTGATGTGATCCCATACAGTACAATACTACATGTTCCTGGTGATAATTCTGAGTCACCAAAAAAAGGTTAAGTTATAGTCAAATTTGTGCAGGAAAAGAAGCCTAATGCTGCATTTACCAAAAACTGTCTTGTCAGAGGTGTTTTAAATTGTGTCAATATTTAAAACACTTTTCACTGTTTAGAAAATTACTTGCACAGAATACCTTCTTCTCAGGCTACCTCCGATACAATGAGATTTTATTTAAATCTTACCTGCTGGGAATTATCACCATTCCCTATACTGAGAGGATCTGAAGGTTTGTCAATGGGGCTGTGAAAAGAAAACAAATTAAATTTTAAAAAATCAGTCCTCCGCAAAAGAAACAAAACTCCCCAAAAGCCAGAAAAAGAGGCATTTTTATTATCTTAGTTATGTTTACTAGTGAGGCACTATAATATAAAACAGTAGGCTAGATGTTGAAAACACAAAAGTATAAGATCCCTATTTTTGATCACTGCCCTTTAATGAACTTACATTCTAACTAAATTGCCCAAAACAATAGACTGAAGTGGTAGTTTATGAAAAAAAATTATTATTATTTTTTTAATTTATTTATTTGTGTGTGTGTGGCCAGCTCAGCCCACCAGGGGGCGGGGCTGGCTGGCATGTGGTGCTGGGGGATTGAACCGCAGTCCCTGTGCT